CAACAATCTGGGTCCTCATTTTTCCCACCTCGGAAGGATGGAAGGCTGAGTCAACCTTGAGCCTGGTGGGATTTGAACAGCCAAACTGCTGAACTGCAGTGCTGCATTTAACCACTGCGCCACCTCGGCTCCTCACCAAGATAACGGGCCCTGCCCTGGATGAGGCCGAGGGGCTGCCGGCCAGAGGAACCACTCGAAAGGGGGACAGACCTGGCCGGGCACACTGATGTCGTATAGCCTCAAGATCAGGTTGTCGACCCCGTTCTCAAAATGGAGGAGAAGCTCCTGGTTCTTGGAGGCCTGGTCACGGACCTGCGAAAGCCGTTCTTCCTCCTCCTCCAGGTTCTTGGACAGGTCCTTTTCTAGCGTCTTTATGCTGGGAGGAGAAGCCACTTTTTACTTGGGGTCTCGTGCGTCGAGGCAGCCAGAGATGGCCCGGGGCAATTTTTTAGCCGGCTCTGCTGACCCAAGAGGCCGCAGGTACCTGAGGAAGCTCGGGGACTGGTGGAATTTCAGCTCGGCTCGCTGCAGCTCCAGAGCCTTCAGCTGGGACTTCAGGCCTCGCCGCTTCTTCTCCGATTTGGCGATCTGCTGCTGGAGGTTCTCCTCGGATTTCTTCTGGGCCATGAAGCGCCCAGCGATATCCTGGCAGGAAAGGAGGGAGAGGGGGGACGAGATGCTTGTGTCCCTGGGGCCATCGCTGGGACCTTCCTTCCCCAGGCTTCCCCTCCCCAAATCGCTCCCCCTCCTCCTGATGCTTCAGAGCATCCTTCCCAGACACGGGGCTTCAGCTGGTGCCAGGGGCTTGAGGAGAAAAGCCCAGCCGGAGAGAAGGTCATTTTCACCCATTCAAGCAGCTTCAGCCTCACGTCTGAAATAATGCCTAAAATGCAGCTCCTGGGGGTATTTTTGGAGAAGAAAAGCCCTCCCCCCAAGATAAGGGGCTGATGAAGCTCTCCTTGTGGTACTCCCGGCTGAGCTTTGGAGGAATTGCAAGAAAACAGCCGGCCGGGTTCGGCTGTTGGACGTACCCAGAGATGCGAGCACTGCACTGCGCTTTTGATTTTCTCCACTTCGCTGATCACCAGACCTTGGTACTCAATCTGGGCCTTGGAAGCCTCCATCTTCGGCCCTGGAAGAACAGGAGACCTCCAGGTGGTTTCCAGCCCAAGGGCCACCAGCTGTGCCCTCTCAATATCTGGTGAGGATGGCTGGAGGCCTCCCCCGCCCCCCCCGGGCATACTTACCCTTTGTTCCTTCCCGTAACACCAGGGCAGAGAAGTCCAGGTCTCGCCGGCCTTGCTGGTCATGAAAGCCAACCAACAGGTTAGGGCAGTGTTTCTCAACCTTGGCAACTTGAAGATGTCTGGACTTCAACTCCCAGAATTCCCCAGCAGGCAGATGCTGGCTGGGGAATTCTGGGAGTTGAAGTCCAGACATCTTCAAGTTGCCAAGGTTGAGAAACACTGGGTTAGGGGAAGAAGCGGGCGCTCGCAAAAGGCAGAGGAGCCCCAGAAGCCCCGGGAGGAGGGGGGGCAAGGCCTCAGCCCTGAGCTGTGTCCCCTCAGAGGCACCCTAGATGCGGAGGGCCCACTCGGAGCCAGACCCCACCGCAGGGGGTCAAAGGAGGCCAGCAGACGCCTGGGAAGGGCTCACCATCCTTCGGTGCCTGTCAAGGGCGTCCTTCGCACGGACGCGCTCTATCTGCTTCTTCTGGATGCTGAGCGAGTTCTCCCTGAACTTCTTCTCCGCAATCAGCTCGTTTTCCGCGTTGGCCATGTCCATCTGCAGCCCCGGGGGAAGCGGAGGGTGAGTGGGAGTGCTGGGCAGAGGCTGAGGGGGCCGGGAGCCGCCCCCCTGTGGCTCTGACCTTGGCGGCCTCCATGGCTTCCAGCATATCCACAGCCATCAGGTCCACCCCCTGCAGCTCCAACTGGAAGGTGCCCACCCGGCGCTCCAAGTCGTCCAGGAGGAAAGGAAGCTGAGAAAGTTCCTGCAGGGAGGAGAAGATTCTGGAAGGAGCCGGGGGCGGGGGGGTGAGGGGAGGCACCCTTGTCCCCAGAACGGCCATCAGGAGAAAAGGAGGAGCAGCCCTCTCTCCCTCTTCCCTTTGGAGAGCCCACAGAGCGGAGGGGCTTTCCGGTATCCACCGGGGAAAGCTTCCGGCAATGGGGTCAGTCCTGCGGAGCGTCCAGGGTGGACACCCCCGCTCCCCGCCAGACATGAGGACAGAGGGACTGCCAGAGTTTGGATCAGACCCAACAGCCTCTGCGAGCAAGAAGGCTCCCTGCAGAGGACGGCCGAAGCACCGGACTCACAGCTTTCAGCACATTCACCATCTTCACGTACAGGATGTGGACCTTGTCTGCAGTCACAATGTTGACCTGCATCTTCTCAATGTTGTTCTCCAGCTGGCGGATGGTCTGCAGGCAGAAAGAAGGCAGAGGGAAAGACGCCCCGCCCTCCCTGGGCATCCTAGGGGCCTCCGCCCCAGGACAAGGTGGGGCAGGGCAGGGACGGGTCTCACCTGGAGCTGCAGCTGGACCTCAGGGCTGACCCTTTCCAGGCCGATGAGGTCCTGCAGCATCACCTGGAGCTCCTCCAGGCGCTTCCCTCGGCGCCGGGCTTCGTACAAGAGGAGGTTGTGGGTGTTCATCCGGTCGAAGACCCACTGGCTCAGGGACTCTCGCGCTTGCTAGGAAGGGGGGGGAAGGGCCCGTTCAGGAGACCCGGAGGGAAGGCAATGGGGGAAGGTCCCGCCCGCCAGTTACCTCCACTGTATGTTTGGCCAGAGTGTTTTTCTCTTGCTTCCTGTCTAGGCAGGCCCTGCTGATCGTGACGTGGTCGTACTACGAGGGGCAGAGAAAGAGAGGCGAGCGATTTCAGGCCGGCCGAGAGGGCTTGGGGTTAACCGGTACCCCCCTTGCCTCTCCTCCTCTCTGTCGTGCCAGGGAGACCCGGAGCGTTCACCTTCAGCCCCAGTTTCAGTTCCTGCATCTCTGCCCGCAGGGTGGTGCGCAGAAAGGCGATGAGGTCCCTGTTCTTGCGCACGGCCTCTTCGCTTGCTTGTGTGCGGAGCCTCCTCCCTTGTTCTGGAAGGAAATGCGGATGGAGGGGACTCACGGGGGGCCCCCGAGGGAAGAGGGCAGCTGCACTAGTCCCTTCTGGGTGGCCCTCCCATGAACAGCAGCCCAGCAAGACCCCACTTGCAAAAGGCCAGCCGGGACACAAACACACACATATACACACACACACCCATCCCCAGGGAGGAAGATGCGAGGGTCCAGCCAAGTGGACGCGCTCGTCTACCTTGGATGTGGATGATGGACTGCAGTTCATGGATTTGCTCCTTCACATCTTTATTCCTCTTGAACTTCATCCTGAGTCCTTTGGATCGCGCCTCCCTTTGCTCCCCAAAACCCTCCTCTGCGCCCGGCAAATGCCAGCCCAGCTCAGCCTCTCTTCTTCCAGCCTGGATTTGTGCAGCCTCCTCTGGGGGCTCTGTGACACCTGAAGGGAAATTGTGATGCCTGAATGTGTCACACGAAGGCATCACAATCTGAAGATTCCCCCTGGAATCCCCCGGGGAGTCTCGGCTGGAATTCTGCGCTGAAGAGCCGCCGATTCTCCTGCAAAGGGGGGGGCGGTTCCAGGCATCTCACACCCTTCACTTCCCCCCCCCCCCCCCCCTCCCCCCCCCCCCCGAGGGGTTCATTCCCAGCTCCCCAGGAAAATGGCCGGCTTAACACGTGGCCAAGGGCCCCCCTCCCGATCCCCTGCTGGGAAAGGCTCCCCATTGCTGAGGCTCTGGAGATTTGCCAGCCCCTGGTTCAAGCTGGCTTCCCCCCAGAGCGCCCGAGGCTGAGCTGGGAGGCTGCTGAAGCCCCTCTTAGGCCCCAGAAGAGATTGGTTTGGTTTGGTTTTGGTTTTATTGGGATTTATATGCCGCCCTTTTCCCTGAGGGGACTCAGGGCGGCTTACAACCCAAAAGGGAGGGGGAG